TTTTCGCTTCTCGGGCAGCTTGTTCTGCAGGATAGCAGAACACTCCTCACTGAGCATCACTGTCGAAAGATCCCCAAGTTTCTTCTTGTCGGTGAGGAGATCTTTCATGAACTTGGCATACTTGGGCATCTTCGACAGTGCCTCCACGAACAGTATGCTGATGTTGAGCTGCTTCAACATTGCCATAAACTTGGCAAACTCATTCTCCAGCTTGTCTTTGTGGAGGCGAGTGGGGAAGGGAAGCTGAGGTACATGCTCCTTAACCACTGGTTGTGGCTTGGGAGCAGGGGCTTCCTTCTCCACCCGTACTTCTGCATCATCGGCTGGAAGTGCTGAAGCAGGTGATGGTTCCTCCTGTCTGGCCGGGACAGGATCAGCAGATATGGTCTTACCGCTCCTAGTAAAAATGGCATCCAAATGCTGGAGCTGGTGAGGATCCCGAGGATTCGGGATAGTGGTGGCGGGCAGAGTCCCCGGTGCCTTGGTAGTGTTTTGGCGTGCCAAGATGCCCACCTGGGTCTGCAGATCTTGCAAAATGGCACCCTGGTTCCGCTGACCTGCCTCCAGTGACGTGATAGCAGCCTGAGTGCTAGTCATGAAAGAAGCTAGAATATTTTCCAGCTTTGTCATCCGGTCATCTGGGGCCGGGGCTACTGCTGGCTCGGCAAACTGGCGCTGGCGCTGCTGGAATGGTTGCCCCTGCCTAGGCTGGTAGGGCTGCTGCTGTGGGGCTAGCCCCTGTCGAGCCGGGAAGGGCTGTCTCTGCTGAAAACCACCTGCTGGTGTTGGGAAACCAGGTGGTTTAGTGGTGTTGCTGCTCCAGGCGAAGTTGGGATGCTGGCGCCACCCCTCATTATATGTGTTGCTGTACGGGTCGAGGCGCCGAGCATTGGCGATGAAGTCCAACTGCTCTTGGGGAGTGGTAGACTCCCTCATAGCCTGGCAGTCCTCTACTAGGTGATTGGAGCTCTCGCACCACTGACATTGAGCTACTGGAGGTGTAGCCAAACCTCTGCCCGGAATAAGACTATTGGGCTACTTCAATGTCTGCACTAGCTCAGCTACCTGCTGCTCGAGCCCGGATCTGGTCTCCATGGCGTGCACACCACGGTCTCGGGACTGTCTGCCTCGGGTGCTCTGCCCCCAGGAATGATCTCTGGCAGCCAAAGTACTGATCATCTGGTTCAGCTCGGGTGGAGTCTTAGTAAGAATATCCCCTCCTGGGCATAGAGACTCAATCACCCTCTGGCTATCTGGAGAGAGAGCACTGTAGAAGTTCCCCACTGTGAAAGCATCACTAAAGCCATGATGGGGACACTGCCAGAAGTATCCCATGTACCGCTCCCATGCATCACGAAGTGATTCATCTGGCTCTTGGCGGAAGTGAGTGATCTCCCGCTAGATCTCTGTAGTCTTCGATGCCGGATAGTACCTGTGCACGAATTTGTCAGCCAGATCGTCCAAAGAGGTGATGGACAATGGGGGCTGGGTCTCCAACCACCTCTTAGCATTCCCCGCCAGGGAATGAGGGAAAAGGTGAAGGCGGATTGTATCATCAGGGACACCATTAAGCTTGAACCCGTTCGTCAGCTGCAGAAAACGGGAAAGATGTACCCTAGCCTCCTCATCCTTCAAGCCATGGAACTGGATAGAGGATGTAATAAGCTGAATCCAGCATGGCTTGATCTCGAAGTTGTTTGCTGGAATAGGTGGGTAGAGGATGACCGGGCTGATGTCAGCAATCCGTGGAGTGTAGTAGTACTCCAAGTTGGGACCCAGCGGCGGGTGATGATGATGAACCCCATGATCCTGGGGTATGGGATTGTTCCGCAGGACCTGATTCACCGGGGGAACCTGCTGAGGATTCCCCTGGTGCTGATTGTAGTCTCCGTCCATCCCGTACTCTTCTTCAGAATCGCTACTCAGGTGGCCGTCTATGCGCTCTTCCGTAGCTAGTCTAGCTCGCTATTGTCTCCTGAGCTGGCGACAGGTGTGGTCAATCTCTGGATTCAACGCCAGTAAACCTCCTGACTGGCTACGGGTCAAGCACTACCTACACACACTCAAGCAAGCAAATTCGTGAAGGCACAAGTGGGACAAAGCAAACAAAGCAAAAAGAAAACTAAATTAACAGAAATCACTTTTCTTCAACAACCTAGCCGTCCCCCGCAACGGCGCCAAAAACTTGACTCACTTCTACTGTCACCCTAGGAATTGGCCAAGTGAAACCACTTCCTAAAGCGTAGTATAGCGGGTTAGGTTTATATGTCAACCCGGGTCCTAGATCTGATGACTACTCAGTGAATTCTTGTTATCTAGCAATGAAACTGGAATGCAAGTCTAAACTACCAAACAAACAAAGCAAGTAAACTGTTGTATTCAGGTTAAGAGAGGTCACCCGGATATGGTTCCCCCTAGACTGCAGTTAAGCCGGATTGTAATTACCAAGTTCAGTTTCTATGAAAGTTATACTGCGGAAGGTTCTTAAACAGCCTGAAGTCTCGACTAAAGGTCTTCAGACCCTCTCAATCTGAGTCTCTAGCGGGCGACTAACCTCCACCGGAGTAAACAGATTGAGGCCTTAACAAACAAAACCTCCACTACCGAAGTAAATCCAGTACAGAATAGTGAGTTGGCTCCTCAAATAAAGTCACCAACTCCCTACCTTCAATCAAGGATGCTCTATCAACCTAGGCAGATATTCTCATTCTAGGTTAAAGCAGAAACAACAGGAATTTGATCAGGATTCAAGTCATTCAATCATTCAAACCTCAATCGAATATAATCAAATCATAGAATCAGTACTTGGGTTCATACAATCAAAGCCTAACATACAAATCTAGGGTTTTCCATACCCAGATGAATGGGAGAACTACTCCATGGAGAAAGAGGCAAAAGCAGAATCAGATGCGGAATTCATACTGTGAAGGATAGATTCCTGCTTCTGGACGTTGAACGGCACTTCTCCAAGCTCAAACTGGCCTCCAATGGTGTTGAAGATCAATCTAGGGCACTTGGAGACTCTTGTTCGTCGCTTTCTCTCTCTAGGAATCGTTCTCTCTCTCCAAAACTCGAATCCCATTCTCTTTGGCTGAAAATCTGCTTAAAAAGGCATCACTGGCCAAAGCCCGGTCGAGGGCACGGCCGTGCTTTGCCTCAGCCCGCCCTTGCTTTGGCTAGTGTTAATTACACGGCCAGTGCATTGGGAGAAACACGGCCGTGCTTTGGAGAGAACACAGCCGTGCTGTCAGCCCGTGTAATCAGCTCATGTTTGCCAAACTCGAATTAGCTCTCGGCAGTAAAAGCACGGCCACAGAACACGGCCGTGTTTTGGAGAGAACACGGCCGTGCTTTGGGAGAACACGGCCGTGTAATGAATTAGGTGTGCCCGTGTTTTGGCTCCAGCTCAACGAAATGACTTCCGAATGCCCCGAAACTCGTGCTTAGCCTTTCCTTTGACGCCTGGGACCTGAAATATGACAAAATAGCACAACCCGCCGTAAAATAGTCCAAAAGTACACGACTATGCCCTCAAACGGATAAGAACTAGGGGCGCAAATATGTGCAATTACATCGTTATCACTTTTTATCATATTTGTCTTTATTTATTGTCCTATGAGTATACTGGGAAACTCAGGTTTTCTGTTCAAGTGTTTGGATTGAGATTTTCCCAACTGTTTAGGGCTTTTCGTTGAGATTTTTGGTTATTATCATTGGTTGCCCAGTTTTGTGACCACCAAATCATCCAAAGGATCGCAACAACCTCCATGAAAAGTTGGGGTTGATTTAAGAGTAACATCAACTTTTTTTTTTGGAAGAACAGGAAAGTGTGGCGAGGTAGCCCTTAACCAAGATACTAGAGTCCCAAGTGATCCCATATGGCCCTGGCCAGTGGGAAATCAAGAAACAAATGTTCTATTGTTTCCGATTCCGCCCAACAAACCGGACACTTGGGAAGCACATGAACATCTTTCTCGATCAGGGCCTCTGTTGTTGGCAGGATTCAGTTGAAGATATGCCATACAAACACTTTCAACTTGGGTGGAATATTGGCTTCCCACAATCGAATCCAGCTGGAACTATCCATCCAATTAGCTATGGATCTCCATCGATCACTCGAATTATCTAACAAGACAGCAAAGGCCGATTTAATGGTGAAAACCCCGTCAGACGTGCCATGCTAGATCAATTCATCCTCAACCTCTTGACGAGGAAGAGGAATTGCTTTGATGGAACTGGCCATGTTTCAAGTCACACCAGCACCCCTCCCCTTGGCAAAGGACCTCCGCCACTGGCAGGTCCACTCCTTCAGGAAGCACTTGGAGGGTGTACATTGGGGTATAGGGATGTTAACAAGGAATCTAGTTGGAATGAATCAGAGAGGCTGTCTGACCATTGCCAATTTGCCATCGTAGTCCCATCACCAATAACTTCCGGCCATAGAGGATACTCTATCGTCCCCAAAACAGGCGAGATCGAGTAGTAGCATTGAGGAAAGTCCAATTTTTAAAGATTACTTCATTAGCCTCATAGTTCCGATAAATGTTATAGACTCAATCAAGATTCTTTTAAAAACTAATGGCAAAAATTGAGAGCTTTAGGCAAAAGTAAAATATAAATAAGCATCCAATCACATTAGTGAGATCACAAAAGGAAAAAGAATCATACAAGTAGCTCCAATCAGGGTAAAGTCATATACTAACTTAGAAGTATCCAAGGAGGACCATAAGACAACTTTCCACTTTAAGAAGGCCTATTAATAGATCACTTATAGTAGGCCTATTGAGATGGATTAGTGAAATGAAGCAATAATTTACAATTTGTGCCCCCTTTTCGATTGAAGAATTTGCACATTGCAAAAGCATTGGTACCCAATCATCTAATTTTGTACATAATATAGGTTTTACTTGGCAAGGTTTCCTATTTTAGGAACTGTACTATTGCTAAAACGAGTAACCACTGATGCTATATATGTAATTCCAATATATAGTTACCCTAGTTCCCATAAAAAATAATAAAAAAAAATCTTTTCAAGTATCGTATTGTTTCCAGAATAATAATGGCGACTTTCAAGGTTGTCACATTTTTTGTCATTTCAACAGTTTTGGTTTTTGCCTTCATTGCCAGAGAAGCTGAAGCTGGATCAATCAGCAGTGGAGCCATGGGAGAGAATAAGCAATGTGGGCGGTTTAATAAAGGACCACCATGCCAGAAGGTACCTGCTAACCCCTATAACCGAGGTTGTAACAAAGCAAACAAATGTCGTGGATCAGGGCCAACTGAATTTATAGAGGAGGCGAACGAAGACGATAAACATGTCCACATTAGTACTGACGATAATAAACATGACGAGAGTGACGGGAAAGATGCAAAGAGTAAGAAAGATGACGATAAAGAAAATCGCAAGGAAAAGGATGAGAAGAAAATTAGTACTAACAAAAACGAAAAGGAAAACAAGGACAATGACCACAATAGAAAAGAGAATGGTGTTGAACAAGGCGAAAAGAAAGGTGAGATGAAAGGTAGCAATCCCATGCCAAAGAAGGATGATGAGTAAGCCAATCCATGAGACATAATGCAATATTTATTATGGACATGTTAGAATTTAACTAAGAGGAAAACTAATGTACAATTACACAAGGCTCAAGCTTTCACTAATTAATTTAATTAAAATATGAATATAATAGGGTATTATTTTTGAATCATTTTTGTATTTACTCAAATATTAATGAGTTTTCCACTATGTCTTCTATTAATATATAAAGCTAAATCCGGCTTATTATTTCCCAAGAACGGATAATTATGTGTGCTTAGTACGTGTAAGCTCTTTGAATTGGGCTGCTAATGAGTTTTAGTAGCTTCTGCACTTGGGGTAGGATTTGTGTGATGGGCCTTCTGATTATGTTATTTTCATATTGTTTCTCTAGAATTCAAATCAGATCCACGATCATTCTTTCTCTTCAATCATCCCACAATTCCCCACTACGAAAATATGATATTTGCATTTACCTCAACACGTTTGTAGAAACTTGAAGGGTCTTAGTAGAACTTCACTTTACGATTTCTCTGCAAATCTGAGCATGAGAATGAAAATTATATGACCGCATGTCCGCATGCGATCATTCCAGACAAACCATTCGAGAGCAGGAAATCCAAAACTCCAGATCTAGGAGTTCTACAAGTTGGATCAGGAACCCTTTTTTCATTCATCTTCATTGTTATTTCCTGCCATATCATCCCTCAAGTTTTGTTGCCCCATTTCCGAGGCCGCAAATATACATTAACCAAATGAACGTTAGGGTTAGCATGCAAAGACGATGTGGATGGATGTGATAAAGGTTTCATAAAGATAGGGAAGCTGGGTGGGAGGGTTTCAGCTGCGTCGAATCAGAACTTTATCAGGCCGATAGGAGAGTTATAGTGGTAATAACGGGATCGCTAGAGGTGGAGGTTTAGAGGAGGGCAAAGGCCGATGAGAGAAAGAGGGTATGGAGGGAGGAGGAAGGGGCGCAATTGAAGAGTGATGGGCTTAAGAGCTGGATTCAGTCGCTGGGAAAATGAAGGAAAAGATGAGAGTGGAGAAGAGGGGAAAGAAACTAGAAAGAGAAGAAAGAGGTAAAATGGAGAAAGTGGATCTTCTATTTTCCGATAAGAAGAAGGAGGAGGGTGGATGCCAGAGAGACAACCTCATCTACTAAACCACCACTAATTTACTTTAATTAGATTAGTTTGTTAAAAATACTTTGTTCACAAAACTACATTCATACTAACTATTTAAAATAGCTTAACTTTTCAATAAGGATTACAATTTACAACAGTAGAATGCAAATAATAAAATAACATTATAATCAGATAGTCTTTCGATAAAAATGATGAGGAGTAGATTTCATAGGGGTGGGCAACGGGAAACGGGTATTTGGGTATACCCGTACCCGTCCCGTTTTTTAAGGGTTACGGGTACTCATATTACCCGTAATATTTTAAACGGATGGGACTTGGGATTGTACAATCCTAATATGAGTACCCGCGGGTTACCCGCAAATACCCGTTTGGGTAATATGGGTACCCGTTGTACCCATTCAAATTACAAAGACATATAATTCAGCCCATGCGCCCAAGCCCAACCCAATTCAAAATCTATTAAAATTACAAAATCCATTTCATTCAGCCCGTGAGAGTTGAGACGCTGACGCACCCTTGCTTGCTGCTGCAAAATTCACCACCTTCCCCACCCTATTTTGCCAAACTGAGGATTGATTTGAGTAGAAACAACATTATTATAGGAGTAGATTTCATAGGGGTGGGCAACGGGAAACGGGTATTTGGGTATACCCTTACCCGTCCTGTTTTTTAAGGGTTACAGGTACCCATATTACCCGTAATATTTTAAACGGATGGGACTTGGGATTGTACAATCCTAATATGAGTACCCGCGGGTTACCCGCAAATACCTTTGGGTAATATGGGTACCCGTTGTACCCATTCAAATTACAAAGACATATAATTCAGCCCATGCGCCCAAGCCCAACCCAATTCAAAATCCATTAAAATTACAAAATCCATTTTATTCAGCCCGTGAGAGTTGAGACGCTGACGCACCCTTGCTTGCTGCTGCAAAATTCACCACCTTCCCCAACCTATTTTGCCAAACTGAGGATTGATTTGAGTAGAAACAACATTATTATTATTATTATTAATGAATCATGGCACTTTCCAGGAAGCAGAACTTGTTATTATTACTAGCTTTTTACCCGGCCCGTTGGCCGGAGAGATTTATTTTATAATTTATATGTTTAAATCATTTTGGATCTTCTAAATATTTTGTAACAAAGTTTGTAGTATATCTATATTGAAATTTCCAATATTTAGCACACTCACTTGTGATGCTTCGGTTTTCGAATCATAAATTATGTTGCTGTCACGTCCCATTTAGACCTTATGACAAAATTTGTCAACCAAAACACTAATATTTAGCGTACTCCAACCTAAACCACACACACATATATAGTTCAAGCTAGCGTGCGCCAGGAGTACATTATACTCTTGCGTTCATACTACCATACGACCATTGAGTTTTACTATTTAGACCCGAATTAACCGGATTTTTTGGGGCATTATACTATATTCTAACCTCTAATAGGTAAACTCTAGTCCCTAATTCTGTAACCTCTAATTTATGCACATACTTCGTAATACCTATCTTCTATCGTATCTTGAGTTAAATAAAAAGTATAGTATACCTTGATATTACATATACATGTATATATATATATGTGTGTGTATATATTAGACTTAAAATTATCTAGAGATCTCGCTTTTACCGCCATAACGTCAGAGAACCATTGGGGTTATTTATTGTTCGATATATAATATATAAAGAGGCAAATACTAAGATCCTACTACTTATTTCTTATCCTCTCCCGCCGACCCCTTTATGGAGAATAAAAAGGTAGGGATGACAGGATCATAGCTCGATATGGTTTTATTATGTTCATCTTATCGGAGATTATGTTCTTTTTTGCTTTTTTTGGCTTCTTTTTCATTCTACTTTAGCACCTATGGTTGTGATCAGAGGTACTTAGCCCTCGAAAGGGATTGGGATTTTAGGTCCTTTGGAAATTCAATACACATTCATGATCCTCGAGTTTGGACGAACTCTCGACCAATGTTGTAAAAATTACGACTTTTTAGTGAGAAATTCTTAGTAAAGATACTTCATTATTGGATTTATTCATCCATATTGAAACTTGACACACACTGTATCTCTCATGATGACTAAATTCTCTAATCTCGACTAATTTCCATTTTGGATGTTTGTTTTTTTATCCAGACACTTAAATTTAGTATATTATATAATATGTATCAATTGATAATTTTTGAAGTTTATACTAAACCTCAACCGGTGGTCATTGTTTATATGTTGACTTAGAATCTCAATCTAAGGCACTCACACACACTATCGAGGATTTTTTGTCTTAACATGGTCGTTGAATGTGTAATTTTCAAAGATTTTATCGCTTATATATCAATAATTGATAAAGAGTGTCTCCAATACACACATATTTTAAGTGCATTTAAAATGTCTTATCATTTGAACAATATAAGTGTATTTCATTTGATTATTTGCATTAACTTATTATCTTATACAACATATATTAATTCGTTTTCTCGAGTCTAGACGAACTGAAAACCAATTTTGAGAGTTGAGATTATTGGATAAAGATACTTGATTGCTGGATAAATATGTTTATCCCAATTGACGATCTTACTAAAAATTGCCAACCTTTATTTGGTAAATGTCTATGTTAGTAGTTGATGAAACGTGATGTTTATCGTAGATTCTGAACAAAGATTTTTCTAACCTTCACATCTATTATTTTTCAAGGAATCTTGTGTCTCATCCTAGGGTCTGAAGTCAAAGTTCGTCAACAATCATACTTAATTCATTTTGAAAATTTTGATTTATAATCGTCGAAGATAACTCCAAGTCTGAAAGAAAATTTCTTAGCATACGACTTAGAACCTCAATAGAGCTTGCTCAATCAACATGATATAGAGCAAATATTATTAATGTGAACTTAGGTCACATTATCAAATTATTGCACATGCGATTCCACTTCATTTGAGGAATTTAAGGTAGAACATGATTTGAATGAATAAGAATTTTTTTAAAAATAAATAACTGTAACTACTCGATCAAGATTATACTCTGACATTTTGCTAAATAATACTGTTTTATTTTATAGATATATATTGTACGAATAAGAGAGTGTTTCATTGCAACAAAATATAAAGTAATATAGTTTATTTTTCAAAGGTAATTGAATGTCAAATATTTATTTTCTCTCTTTTCATATATATTTTGGTTTAATCGATTAAAACATAATTGTTTATGTGTATGTTTGTTTATTTTTTCATCAAAATTTAACTTATTATTGAATTTTAGTAAAAATGAGTAGAAAATTTATTTCATAAGGTTTAATCAGATATTTTTTATTTAAATAAATGTGATATATGTCAATCTCTTTTTTCTTATTTGTATTTTGTTTATTTTTATAAAATTTATTATTTATGTGTGTTTGGTTAAGTTTATCAACATGTAACTTATTATTAAAGACAAAAAAGATTAAATGGATAAATGAAAAAGAATAATTGGATAAAAGAAATGGAAATATTAAAGAAGAGAGAGGTAGCTCCATAAATACATTAATAACTAATTTTTTGTTGGTAAAAAAGTTGTCCAACTTGGCAAATTGTGCATCCTCCAAGTGCTTATGTGGCAAGAATTGTTTTTTGAATTGCCATAATATATAGTATAGATTATTACTGAATCATTGCACTTTCCAGGAAGCAGAACTTGTTCTCTTTCTGGGTTTTATTATCTGGTCCTTTCTCCTTCCTTGATTCCTTTTCATCTTTATCATCATCCCTTCTTTGGGTTGTAGGAATTGGTGTAAGTTGCTACTTGTGCAGCCATTTTGTGTTTTGAAATGAATGCTTTGGATGTAATTGACTAATTGTCTTTAGGTAAAATGTCATTTAAACTTTGGGTATTTATGGGTAGTATGGGTACCCGTTATCCGTCCCGTACGGGTAATGGGTACCCGTTTCCCATATGGGTTTGGGATATGGGTTGGACTTTGGTGTCCAAATGGGTGAACCCATAATGAGTGAACCCTAGGTCCTAATTATCTAAATCATAAACTATAAACCCTAACATGGTGCATTGATTTTTTTGCCCATATTTGGACGAATCATAACCGTCGATTATTGT